GCCCCTCTAGCCCTGCCCCTCCCCCGCCCTGCCTGCCCCGATCAGACCCGGGGCCCCTCTAGCCCTGCCCCTCCCCCACCCTCGCCGCCCCGATCAGACCCGGGGCCCCTCTAGCCTTGCCCCTCCCCCGGCTCCCATTGCCCAGCCCTGCCTGGGTGTGGGGCTGCAGGGCGGGGTCACTTCCCCAGCCCTGCGATGACCTGTCCCCATTGCGCCCCAGAGGAGGGATGCCCGCCTGCCATGGCCATGGTGGACTGCGCCAACCGATGCCCGCGCCATTGCTGGGACCTGCAGGAGGGCATCACGTGCCAGGACGGGGAGGCCTGCGAGCCCGGCTGCCGCTGCCCGGAAGGTGGGTGCCCTGTGCGGACGGCTGGGGTGAGAGGGCACACGGAGGGCTGGGGGATCGCTGCCTTGGCGTTATTCACCCCCGGGGACTCCTCCTCCACAGGGCTGGCCAGAGCCCGTCCTCTCGAGATCCCGGGGTCCCCAGGGCAGGCATAGCCGGGGGCCCTTTGCCAGGGTGTCCTGGCTCCAGATGGGAGCTAGGACTCGGATCCTCCGTGCCGAAAGCAGGGGTCGCGGCGATTCACCTTGTCCTGGGAGCCGTGCGGGTCTATGACACCCTGGAGAAGTTCTGGGGGTGCCCAGCAGAGCCCTGACGCCGGGCCCGTCTCCCCCCTCCCCGTGCAGGGACCCTGGAGCAGGACGGCGCCTGCGTCTCCCCGCAGCACTGCGAGTGCACCGACGCCCAGGGGCACAGCTGGGTGCCAGGCAGCCTGCGCCACGACGGCTGCAACAACTGCACGTGCTCCGAGGGGCGGCTGCTTTGCACCCGCCGCACCTGCCCCCCCAGCCAGTGTGACTGGAGCCACTGGTCCCGCTGGTCCCCGTGCAGCGTCACCTGTGGGGACGGGCTGCAAACCCGCTTCAGGTGAGGGGCCCCGCCCAAGGCTTCCTGCTCGCGGGACACTGAGACCCCAGGCTGCGCGGAGCTCCAGCCCCTGCCTATCCCAGCAGGGGGCGCTGGGGAGGGGAAGG